AGTTGAAAACAGGTGAAAAGGACATTTCATTGAGGATTTTAATATCTTTTTTGTGTTCGTGGGTTACATTTTTGACTTCTCAAATCTGAGAGGAAAAAGAGCCTAATTACTATATTTTCTGCTCTGTGTTGGCTGGTATTTAATACCCAGCAATTTTTAAAATACGGAAGTTCTCTCATCCATATAAACAGCCTAAAGCTACTAGTGCTTGGGAGAATATGGGAGCCAAAGCAAATCAGTCAGGGAGAACAAGTACAAGGAACTTTTCAGGAAGTTTTTAAACTTATATTTAGGAGCTTATCAATATTTTGCAATATTTATGCCAGTGAAATGGTCTGCCTTTTGAATAGGAATAAAGTTAAGCAGCATGTTAGATATGCCCCAATACAAAAAAATAAATAAATAAAAATAGGAGGGCCAAGGGCACTTGTGTTTTTTCCTATCCTGCCTTTACAGCCACAAAGTGACCGGAAAAATCTTCCAGAAGTTCTGACTTGTATTTTCTAATGAGTTACTGCTGTCTCTGAGGTTGATACCAGAGGCACGGGGCTCAGGCAAAGTGAGAGCTGATCATGATATAGTTTGTACTGAAGCCAAATCAATGTGCTGCAGGCCCTAAAGAGACCCGGGAGAGGCTCCCTGTTAGCCTTAGAAATGAGAAACCTACTCCCAAGATTGTATACAAGAGGAGGAAGTGTGAAGACTCCCAGATATGCAGCTTCCCAGCTGGGTCATTTTAAATAACTCACTTAACTGAATAAGTATTATTTTCATTTTTACAAATAAGGAAACAAATACTTGCCCTGCTATCTTAAGGAGGGGTCCTTGGGACAGCAATATACTATTAATTGAAGTACTTCTGAACTGTAGATGTCTGTGTAAGAATGACATGCTAGAAACATGTTTGATACTTGGATAAAGAACCAGGATCCTAACCATATCTTTTAGGGTTCTGGCAGGAATGGGGTGATCGAGGAGTGTTTAACAAACTATTGACCAAGGTATGGCCAGATTAAGAGAGACCATCAAGGGCTAGTGAGCACCCCAAGCCTAGTGAAGGAGGTGCCAACATCATCCCTAGGCCTGTAGGAGCGAGGGAAGACTCAGCTATTGCACACGGGAGTGTCACTCTAGCAGTATCCTGATATAATAACCACCAAATGTCCAAACATGTGACTGAGGTATTTGGAGGTGGGTATAGAACCTCACCCTGCTCCATTCTCACACTTCCTGAGGGTGAGGTATGTTGGTTGAGTCTAACACAAAGCGAGAGAGTAAACAAGTTCATTAACTACCCTGGCAGTAACCCCGACCGAGTGTGGCTTGGGGTTAATTTTCACTGCCAGAAGCGGTAACCCCTATTTTGTATAATTATTTATTATATTACAATTTATGATTTTGTGTTTCAAACGTTATCATACCTGGGATGCCTACTAGACTCTTGTTTGGACAGATTTAAGTGAGTAATTCCTAAGAATTACAGACCTACAATATAAAACAACAAATTTCCATGCAAAACAGTGTACCGCTTTGGGTACAAAATTACTGACATAATCAGACCGCCAGGGAGGTTAAGGCAATCCATAGAAGTCACTCTCCTGGGCCACGGGTTGGTGTAGAATGCTGAGAAGTAGGTCTGGAGAACATTCAACACTCAAACTACCACCCAGATAAGCATTAAATACATTGTGGTTGGGAAGGAAAAGGGAAAGAGAAACATCATGGTTGGGTAACTATTGTGTGCTAAGAACTTTTCTTGCGTTATCTCTCATAATCTTAGAATACCCACTACAAGAGGCTGATTATTATCTCCACCTGACAGGGCATGGTATTGAGTCCCGATGGATTTAATCATTTGTTCATAGTCACAAAGCTAGTAAGTCTGTAAATAATATAAGAAACCAAACTTGCTTGACTTCAAGGTGAGGGAGCACTTATAAGGGGACTCAAGCTTGTCGATAGATGCCTGTCTTAGGTAGTGTCAAGCTGTTTATGTGAGTGGCGAGGGGCATAAATACTTCTGTAACAGGGGAACACACGGAGCTCTTTTCTACCATCCAAGCAACTATCTCCATCATGATGCCTCTCTCATATTTTTTTTTTAAAGATTTTTATTGGGGAATTGGGGGGATGGGAACAGTGCTGGGGAGTTGGGGGAAGGGGAACAGACAAGTTGCTGTCGTTTTGTTCTTCAGTCTAGTTGTGGAGGATGTTGCTTCACTGGCCCAAGTTGGCACCATCATTGCGCTCTTCTCTGGCGAGGCAGATCAGTCGCCGGCTTCTGGACGGCCGCTCACTGCGGCTGCTGGCCGCTCACGCTGGCTGCCGGCCACACACGGTAGCCCATGGCAATCCACTGCCACAGGGACTGCAGCCCACGCCGTCGCCGGCGACTCATGGCAGCCCAGCTCCAGGTTGAGCTGTTGTTCAGCATCTTAGCTGTGGAGGGCAGTGTCACTGGCCCTCATATGTGGGATCCGAACCGGGGCCCTCTGGCATCCCAAGCGAGTTCTTAACCATCGCGCCACTCGGCCGGCCCGCCTCTCTCATATTTTGATATAACTCATAGACACTATCCCAAGTATGCCGTTTTCAACGGAGCCTCAAAACTATTTTAATGTCCAAGTGTCTGAGAGACATCGCAGTTTTTTTTTTAATTTATACTCACACAACCTATAAAAATGGTGAGAATAATACATACCCATCTTCTCTGAGTCCGAGGACATTGTAAAGATTCTTCTACTGAACTAATCTGAGAGGACTCATGTGTAGGCCTCAGCTCATCAACCTTTTTGAAGAAAGTTGCTTCCTTCCTTGAGAAATTATACCAGTTTCCTCCGATTATTAGAAACTCCACATAAAATTCCCAAGTCTAGCGGATGGCTTTAGTTTATGATGACTTTAGAATGTGGTGGTACCTAAACTTTACAAGCACTCATGTAACTATCATGGGAGCAAAACAATTTTCTAATTCTTTCTAGTGGAATTGAGCTTGTAAGGAAGCTATACTGAGTTATGAAAATATATATATCCATTGTAGAGCAGCCATATTGGTTTTGTTGTTGTTGTAGCTAGCTATTTTTTGCTTATGTGTTTATTTTCCCCTCAACATTGCCTCACAGTGTTCCAAGTCTGAAAGATTGCTGTATTTCTATTTTTCTTTTCTCTGTTTTCACTTATTACCATCCATATAAGTATGATCTATTGAGTTATATAATGATATGATCAAATCCTGAAAGAAACTATTGTATTGAAAGATATTATTATGTTACCATCAGTGTTTTCAAATAAGTATGGTTATCCAATTGAGCACTCCCCGAATGGGAAGCTCTAATGTAAATGTCCTGTCAAGTTCTAATTCTAATAAAGTGCATAAGAACGCACAGCACTTCCCGGAGCCTGCTCCCTGCCTGGGTGGATTAGATTTCCCTGAGCACTCTTGCACCTCGCCTGCTATTCAGATGATTCAGAGACTTGAACTCCTCACAGACCTTTTACAGACAGATGATTTAATTAGAGCATATGAATCCAAAAAAATAAAAAACTGGATCACAACTTCAGAAGTGGCCAAAAGAGTGACTCATCCTCAATTTGAACATTTATGATGTCCCTGGGTTAGAAGAAAGGGGGGAATTATCTTTTATTTGGACAGTTTTCTTTCATTTGGGCCAGAGACAAAACACACATCAATTCAATAGGAATATACTAGGCTAGTCACAATAATCTTTATTGTTGGATTTTAGCAATATGGCGGGGGGCGGGAAATTTGGGTAGGGGTGGAGGGGTGGAGAGCATCTTAGAGTTAAGTAAAAATGAAGGACACAGGAAAATATAGTATCATTGTAAGATATATGATTATTCTTTGAAAAAATTGGAAATAACTAAAATATCCATTAATATGTGAATACCTAAGGTCCTCATAGTACATTGATAAATGAACAATTATGTACCTATAAGAAGTAATGAGTTGGATCTTTATGTGCTAGCAAGAAAAAAATCTCAAAGATATCCATTGCATGAATAAAGTCTCAGAACAATATCTATATCATGGTCACATGTGTGGTTAAATGTTTATGTGCATACATGCACATTTGTATACATTCACACATAATGGCCTTGGAATGATACACAATTATGAGCTGTATTTATAAATACAAGCATAAGGGCGAGGAGAGGGCTAAAGAGTTTCAAAAAGTTCAGAAATATCATGCAAATTTTGATGAGAAAATTAAATTGCTAGTAAAGCACCCAAAGAGGCAGATAGATAAAAGCCTGAAAATATATCAAAAGAAAAAAATATTAACATTGTAGCACTGATGATGTTATGTTATTCTGTATGATTCTATGTTTTACCCACTTTTTTCTATATCTTTCCATTTTTCTCAAATATTTATTACTTTCACAATAGGGAAGCTATAACTAAATAATAAAATATAAATGTAGTTAAACAACACTTTAGGATTTAGACACTTTTCTATATTAATTTTGATTGGTGTTTTATTCATCTGAGTTGATTCTAATACCATATTTCTTTCTTTCATCTCTCTAATGTATTTCTGAGCGTCAGAATAATTTATCTTTGACCTCAGAGCCTTCAAGCTATTTGTGTATTTACTCCTTTTGTAGGGGAACTGGGATCTGTGATAAATGGTAGGATTCTTTCACTTCCAGGGTTTTCCTGGGTAGATGAGACGGTGTTGTGATTTATTCTTTAATTTGGTAGGCAAGGGTATGCCATGCAGTTTACTTTCTAATATATACTTTTGCAAGTTTTTTTAAAAAATGCATTATAAAATATATATTTGCAAGTTATGCACTGCTGTTTATGACTGCAATCTTTCTCGGTGTTGGCATCACAAATGCACACCAGTTAAATGTCAAAAGAGAACAGAAAATTATTGGAGTGGGACCTTGTATGTACGTGCGTGTGTGTGACTGACACAGTTATTTTTGAATGAGCTGTCTGCCTGAAGGTCATTCTCCCATTCTTTCCCCCTCAGCAATTATAAAGACTGCCCTTCCCAACATGGACAGAGAAGCCAAGGAGGAGTACCTGGTCGTTATCCAAGCCAAAGACATGGGTGGACACTCCGGTGGCCTGTCTGGGACCACGACACTTACAGTGACCCTTACTGATGTTAATGACAATCCACCGAAATTTGCCCAGAGTAAGTGAATTTCCTGCAATGGATGAGAATCGAAGTATGATGTTTTCATTTGAATTTATATTCTGATTTTCAGCAACATCAAAAACAACAAAACAAACAAACAAACAAAAAAAAACTGATCACAATCACTGAGTACTTCTTATGTACAAGGCATAGCCATTCATATATGTATATGAAACAACCAACTCTCCTATCATTTTGGCACTAAATGTAGCCCCATTTTACAGATTCCAAAGAAGCTGATTAAAGGTCCAAATATCAAGCATATAGGAAGTAGTGGAGCTGAGAATTAGAGCCACATGTGTGACTACAAGATGTGTGCTTATTTCTCTGTCCCATGATACCTTTCATTAAGAAAACTTGAAAGCATGATTAAAATGTACCTCAGAGTTTGCTCAATCAATAGTCACACTTGTTGTATAAAAGAAACTAAATCTCTAGTGTCTGAGATGGAACAGGCAGATATGCAGTACACTTGCTACAAAATATACGCTCCTCCTTCCTGCACCTGGGGGGACACTGGTGATCACCGATTCTACTCATCCCTACTGCACTCATGCTCTGCCTCAGAAACCTCTCGACAGCCTTTGAGGCAGCCCCCATCAATGAATTGGGGAGATAATCATTGTTTGCCAACTACCTTGTACCCTCATAGAACCCTTTTCTACTGAGCATTTGTCAAAGTAATCTGACGTAGGTGATTTGGGAAGGACTTTCTGGCGTGGAGACTCTTGAATTGAGATATGAATGATGAGTAGGAATTAGCCAAAACAAGATGAAACCAGGGGAGTGGGGGATCGACATTGTACCCAGAGGAAATGGATGTCCAAAAGCCCTGTGGAAGAAGGGGGTATGGCCCTGGGTGAGAAGTAATAGGATTTCACTACAGCTGAAGCACAGAGGCTGGCGAGTTAGTTTAGGCAGGAGTTAGCCATGTTGTATTATTTATAGGCCATTTTAAGTACCATGATCTTCATCTTAATGTCACTGGGAAGCATTAGAAGATTTTTAGTTGTGACATGAGTGTTAATAGGATTTGTTTCCAAGGAACTCAGAGAAGATAAAATCGGGAATTCTGATGTCTTTGCATTTTAGCCAGTTAAGGGTGATTGTAACCGTTCATGGAGAAGGTGACGGAAGCCCTGGCAAGCAAGGGTGGTCATAGGGGAAGTGGAGAGAAGTGAGTAGGTGGGACAGATATGTAAGAGGTAAGGATAACAAAAAGCTAAAGATAGATTGCATTTTTAGTTGAGAAGGTGAATTATCTTATTTCTGACATGAGAAATTGGATGCATGCTGGTGCCATTTGCTGGGATAGAAAATACCCTAGGAGAGGCAGTTTTTTTAAGAGAAAGAGAAGAGAGGACAGAGAGAAAGAGAGGGAGAGAGGGAGAGAGATAGATGGACAGAGGTGGGGCTTGAAAATGACACATTTCAGGTATATTTGAGAATTTATCTTCAGATATTCCAAGGCAGTAAGGATAGAAAAGATGTATTTTCTTAAGAATTTTCACATCTGGCCATTCAAAAATCAGACAACAAAATTATTAATTATTTTATTGAATTATTGAAATGGAAAATACAACTTCTCCTATCCTTCCACCAACTCTCTCTTTTCTGAATTAAATTTATTGAAGCAACATTAGTTAATAAAATTGTATAGGTTTCAAGTGTACAATTCTATAATACATCATCTATATATTGCATTATTTGTTCACCACCCAGACTCGGTTCTCCTTCCATCACCATATATTTGACCCCCTTTACCTTCTTCTACCACCTCTCCTGACCCGTCCCCCTCCGGTAACCACTAAACTGTTGTCTGTGTCAGTCAATGAGTTTTTATTTCCTTTTCACTTGCCATCATAGTTAATGCTCTAATATGCCACCCTTCTCTCTCAGAAAAATGATTGTTTCAGTTCAGCGGTGGCAGATGAGTTTGAAAAGTGTTCCCTTTGTTAGGGTTAATAATTATTAACTATGATCACACTGATAGAGATGATGGGAGTGAGCACAATAGAAATGGATCAAGAAAAGTTCCATTTGCTTGGTTTCCCCTGGCTCTCTGATGCAGGACTGGCAGCAAGGTGAGGTCCCTTGCTGGCTTATTTACTTAATAAGCATACATGAAGGAACCATCTCAAACCTTACCTGGAATATGAAGTTGGAAGGAAGTGGAATCATTAAACCAATGATGAGAGAATTGAGAGACTTGTGTTCAACATGATAATTTTCAGTGCCTACCTGATGGCTAAACCCTTTGGAAAACATTTTTGTTCCCCAGTTCCATAATGTCATGATTCTAGGGGACATTTTTATTTCATCATTAAATAAAGGTACGTTAGTAGTAGAAGAAAGCCTTAGCCATCATCTGAACTAATCTTGTTATAGTGGGTAAAATCAGTCTTGATTTATCCAAGGGACTCAGTGATGGAGTTCAGACTAGAATTGGATAATGTTCTCCAGATTTAATTTTTTCATTTGGGTTTATAGTTCATTGAATATTTATTTTCCCCTTGTTTTTGTTGCAATGGGACTAAAACTCCCTGGTTGTCTGGGTTTGGATTCCCCAGAAATAGGCACTGAGGCAAGAATTTGATTATAAGTAGTTTATCTTGGAGATGTTCCCAAGAAATGCCAGTAGGGAAGTGAGGATGTGAGTGAGAGAAAGACAGAAAGCCAATAATGTGCATTATCAAGCCAGCTATGACTGTGGGTGACTGGAGCTTTCTCCCACTGGGGGCACTCTGGAACACTATAAATAAACAAAAGGAAAGAAATTGGCAGGAATGTTACCATACCAGCCAGGGGAGGAGCCTGGGATATTATATGCTTGCTAACTTGTGTGAGTGTTTGAGGGCTGCTTCTGTTGGTCATTAATTCTCTGGTAGTTCTGGCCTCACAAGCAGCGGGCAAAGTGGGTCTGGCGGCCACAGAGGACCCTTAGGCAGGAGCTGGCAGTGAGGTGGAGGGCACGTATGCACTGAGGTGGTAATGGCCTGGGGTTGTGGTTGGGGTTCCAACAGCTTCCCCTACACCAATGACAGTGAGGGACACGGAGACAACAACTAAAGTGATTTGAATAAAAATGAGACTAATGCCACTAATTAGACCTGTTTTCCCAACCCCACAGGCAAATGAACATAAACTGTAATTGTATTTTGCCTCTAGAGTAGTGAAGGTAGGATTTTTGGTCTTCTAAGCAATGAGGACTTTAGTAACAAGAGGAGTGTTTCATGTGTCTGAACAGCTTGCTGCAAGGCACAGCAGAAGTTTAGTAATTGGATTTTATCAAAAATGGTCTACAAGTCTGTAAATATAAAGGTAACTTCAAAAGTGACTTTCAGTGTGTTACACATTGCATCTTTCTGTGCTGAAATTAGCTTACTATTTTATGTTGGGTAACAATGAATATCCCCACGGGCAGCCAATGTGATTACAGTAAGCTGAAGCGAACAATCACATAGATTCACAGATATCCTGATATAACTCTGCCCCAAGTACGTACTTGGTAAACATATGGTGGAATAGGTTCCATATCTCAGAAGAGCCTCAAAGAAAGATCACTAGTGCTACTGGAAACTATTTGTCTCTGACTCATTTCGAAGACAGTACATTCCACAGTGAAAGGGATATTTTTTGTCTTTCCTATCACTCTATTGGTAGCATTTATAGGAGTTCCCAGAACAAAGGAAGTGCCCAATAAATCTTTGCTGAATGAATGAATGAATGAATGAATGAATGAAATCTGTGCAATGCTCAGTGCTTCTCCTCTTTTCTAAGGTCTGTATCACTTCTCAGTCCCAGAAGATGTGGTTCTTGGCACTGCGATAGGGAGGGTGAAGGCCAACGATCAGGACATCGGTGAAAATGCACAGTCATCGTATGACATCATCGATGGAGATGGAACAGCACTCTTTGAAATCACCTCTGATGCCCAGGCCCAGGATGGCATTATAAGACTAAGAAAGGTAAGCTAAGGGCGATTTTAGATCACATTCCAAATACCTCTTTGAAACTTGAGTGTTGAAGTTTGTGGGAATTGAGTGGACTTCCTGACATAATTGTTGAGCTGATAGAGGTTTAGCTTCTGTTGCTGAAAGAAGATAGGGTCCTTTGTGCACCTCGTAGCCCTTGGCCCCACTTGACATTGCAGCTAAAGCTCAGGAGAACAGTTACAACAGCAGGGCTAGCCTCCCAGCTCACTCATTCTTCTTCTCCATCTACACCAGAGTGCCTTTCCCTAACTAAGCTGCAGGAATTTGTAGGGAAGTCAACACGCCGAAGGCAACGCTCAAACAATGAGGGACTCAGATTGGTGGACAGCTCTTATTCTTTGAGAAACTTATTTTGAGGCATATGGTCTATGGTTCCTAAGAGGATTTCCAGTGGGAAAGAGTCTTCATTATTCACAGAGGTAGCAAGTTCAATGGTTTTTAATCCTTCTCTATAGTAACACTCCCCATTTCTACGCTCCTCCTTCCTGGGATATCTCCACAAAATACAGTGATGGTTCCTTAGTCTTTGTTGCAGGCTCTGCTTTCAGGGAAACTCAAAGACAGAAGGAGTCATCAGCTTCAGTTATCCTGGCTAGTTTTGGGCACTGGAATGACAGGGCCAACCCTGCTACCATTGGATACTCCCCCATGTACCCAAAGTCCAAGCATTATGTTAAATGACACTCATATTGGTCTTGCTCCTGGGTGTGAGGCTACCCCTGGAGAAAGAAACATCTTCATAAACAGTACAAATGATGTATGCAACCTGCAACGGCTTTTGCCAGCAACCTTTTTTCTTTTTTTTTTTTTTGTGGTAGATGTGAAAAATTCTGTACAACATTTTCCATATTTATTTCTCATCATGACATCATCAAAATGTATAGAACACAGTTTATTTTATGGTCAGAGGCATTTGCAAGGAAAAAGTACCCTTTTATCCTCATCAGAGTGTTTGTTTAATATTGTTCTTCATATCTTTGTCATGAAGTAGCACAAATTAAATTTTAAATAGATTTGCTTCTTCATGCATAAGGAGATAGATGGTGGAACACACTATTGGGAGCCAATAGTTTTTCTGTCTGTTTTGATCAGCTTATGCTGACATGACTCCAAGCTTACCTAACTCTTAATTCTCTCTGTCATATTGCATAGGGATCTGCTTTCTATGATCGTACTCTTAAAATACCCCATTGAAGACGTATTGGCAGGGGGAACCTGGAGTTGTCTGGATACACTTTCATATGCAAAATAAATGTTAAAATCAATTTTGAGAAAAAAATGGCTGCCTGTATTTCAGGTTTCTACTGAGCAACACGACCTTTATACCTGGCTTGAGTTTAGAATTAAGCATTACTAAGTATTTAAAAACTCATGTTTGAAATAAAATACAGTATAATTAGACTTGAGTCGATTATTGAATAACCCAAAGCCACATTTTCCTTGGCTAATGATTCCTAATGTCATTTTTATTGTTATTATTAACTGCTATCTGTTGTTACCATAAGGTGCTTTTATCAACTGAAGCAATTAGCCATTTGCTGTATTTTTATTCACTGTTATTCATAAACTTGGAAGCATATAATACACATCTTAGCATCAAGAAACACATGTAGTTTACTCTAGCAAACAATGGGTAGAGAGTCTTATTTTCACAATTCATGGGTCCTCTTTTTTGTCTGATAAAATCCTCAGGACACCAGGATGTTTGGGTGTTCATTGCTACTATGTTGAACTCAGAATTAAGCAGAACCTTATCTGTTATATTTACCAGATTTTGTGAAGAATTAGACATTGCAAAAGTGTTACAGTAGGGGTGACTGGCAAATGGTGAAAATGCTGGTGTTGAATGGTCTATTCATTGTGCATGTGTCTCGTAATTTCAGAACAGACAGGGAAGTGAGAATCTGCCTCGTGTCCTAGAAAATATTTCCAAGAATGTCAAGTCCGTTAGAATTGAATTAAAATCTAAGAACCAACAGAAAATTTTGAGATGAGAATATGTATTTAAGCTTATATAGAAGTTCTGAAAGAGTTTACTCATGCTAGCTTGTGTTCCAGCTTCTTATTTTTATTTTTAAATCTGTATGGCAGATTTAAAGTTCTGTGTCTTACAGGAAATTGCAGTGCCAACCGAAATTGTGTCTTTGAACCTTTACAGACGTACTTTCTTGAAATCTGAAGTATTCTGAGTTGCCGGGAATCGGACTCTAAGGGTTCTGGGGCAGATGGGTTTCTGGTTATTAAAGGGGGTTACATTCTTTTACCTAGCTGTGTATATCTAGGTCATTAACTACAGTCTCTGGGGCTTTTAAGGAATGAGGTATTAATATGTCAAAAATATTCTCAGTAGTGGTGCAATGAGGTAATTTGAAATTGCTTTTAGTGGTTGTGAGGCACAGCCAGACCTAGGTATCTATACGCAGTCTATACTACTCTCACTTTTCCTTCTTCTAAATATAAATACAAGTACATATATATCTGCATGCATATTTCTTTAGATGTCCACCTGCTTCATATCACAGGCTACCCTAAGAATTAATAACCCTCTTTTTAGCCACACGATCAGGAGAACAGCAGTGCTTTGGAAGTGAAATAAGAAAACACTCTTTGTGGAGATTGGTGCTAAATTATGCTTTATAATGTCTCCTTGGACTAAACAATGATTATTGCTAGTTCTTTACATTTCACACACTGTTACAGAAATGATAAAATATTCTTCCCAGATAGAGATTGTGTTTGATGCTGTCTTATCTCCTACTGACAGAGGCTCGATTAACTGGCTGATCGGTATGCAGGTCATGTTATCACTAGTAAAATTTTATTATGACTCTGAAGTGAAATTTTGATGGCACAATTCATGACTGTGAATATTTTGTGAATTCCAAGTGAAATGAGCAAAACAAAATACAACAATAGGAGATTAGATTCACTGAGCTTGTATAATAAACAGATATCAATAAATGCCTGTAAAATTTACAGGTCGAATCTGGGGGAATGGCGGCTCCCATTAAGGCTCACAAATGGGCTTAAATGCACATAACTATCATCCATCAGCATTAGACTCATTTGTTCTTGCTGCTGTGGTCGTTAGTGAGAAACATTCATCTTTGTCATTTCTTAACAGCCTCTGGACTTTGAGACCAAAAAGTCCTATACACTGAAGGTGGAGGCAGCCAACGTTCACACTGACCCACGTTTCAGCGGCAGGGGGCCTTTTAAAGACACGGCAACAGTCAAAATTGTGGTGGAGGACGCGGACGAGCCCCCTGTCTTCTCTTCCCCGACTTACCTCCTCGAAGTTCATGAAAATGCTGCTCTAAACTCCGTGATTGGGCAAGTGACTGCTCGTGATCCTGATGTCACTTCCAGTCCTATAAGGTATTTCTCTTTGAAAACGCATACTGGCTACATCAAATGACAAGCACATTAGTGCAAAATGCAATTATGTGTATATCCTGTGTAGCTGCCTTTGGGACTATGCTCATGTGACCCAAAAATCGGGGTCTACACGTACCTTGTGTATGTGTGTGTGCGTGTGTGCATGGGCCCGCCCACAGGCTCACGCACATCAACTAAGAGTGACATGCAGTGCCCAAAGTCAGGAACATCAAGATGAATAAAGCTGTTCCAGCTTTCAGAGAGCTCAAAGCAAACACAAAATTGCAGTGTTTTGCAGTGCGTTTGGATGGATCTTTCATATTATTTTGTTTTTGCTTGTTTGTGCATTTCTCTTTTTTTTTCTAGCATTATGAAAGTATGGCTGGTTTTTCTTCTTTCTCCTTTGACAGTTACAGTGAATTATATATAAGAATTTAAAGGCATGAGGCCACTGTGTCTCAACACATTAAGAGGCCCCTATCTTATTTCTGTTTGGTGTTTGGCTTTGAAATTATCTTCTTATCACTTCATGGGTATTTCTGGTAGGTCAGCATATCTGGATTGGTGCCTTTTAGACAAAATCTTTCTCTGCCATTTTGAAAATACCTTTTGTTTATATTTTTCCTGCTTAGAAATAATCTTTTATTAAATTTTTCTGTCTTTTTTTTTTAAGAAATGAGGCTCAATTCTATTTTTTTTCTGTTGAACTGCATATATCTTTGCCCTTTCATCAGTCACCCAAATGACAGTCCAGTGTTCAAGCTAAATAGCTTATTCCCCCCAGAAGAACACTGAAAATCTATAACTTGTACACTGGTCTCCAAGGGTGAATTGTTGGCTAATGATGTGTTTGAGTGTGGACTTCAAATATTGTCTTAGAAATGTTTGTTGAAAAAAAAAAAGAGAAAAAAAAACTTAATGGAGAACTAGTTTTAGAAAACTGTCCAGTTAATCTCTAAGTTAGATGTTAGCTCGTACCCAACTCATTCGCACGGGTCACAAGGATATAAGACTGATATCCTTGTAATTACTTTATTCAGGGAAACTCTAGACAAGTGAACTTTCTGGAGGTTTTGTTATTTACTTCTTTTTTATGTATTACATTCTCATTACTCACAAGGGTGCTGAAACAATGAGGCTGGAGTTGACCTTATCAGAATAGCCAGTGCCCCAAATAATCGGAGTTTGAGAAAAAAAAAAATACTTCTTTTCAGATCCAGAAAAGATATATATATTTTTAAAAAGGCAAGTCCCTTTTTTTTTAATTGGGGAATTGGGGAGATGGGAACAGTGCTGGGGAATTGGGGGAAGGGGAACAGACAAGTTGCTGTCGTTTTGTTCTTCAGTCTAGTTGTGGAGGATGTTGCTTCACTGGCCCAAGTTGGCACCATCATTGCGCTCTTCCCGGGTGAGGCAGATCAGTCGCCGGCTTCTGGATGGCTGCTCACTGTGGCTGCTGGCTGCTCACGCTGGCTGCCGGCCACACACGGTAGCCCATGGCAACCACCACAGGGGCTGCAGCCTATGCCATCGCCAGTGACCCACAGCAGCCCAGCTCCAGGTTGAGCTGTTGTTCAGCATCTTAGCTGTGGAGGGCAGTGTCACTGGCCCTCATATGTGGGATCTGAACCAGGGCCCTCTGGCATCCCAAGCCAGTTCTTAACCATCGTGCCACTTGGCCGGCCCAGAAAAGATATTTTTTAATACAAGCCATTTGAAATTCAAGATAATAAAGGGTATATCCCATAAGATACCAAAAAAAAAAAAAAAGCTAACATGTTTTCTTTAAAAGAGCCCAAACTCTTAGAAGGATTAAACTCCACCCACCTGGGGATTTGCGGAATGGTCAGTTGTCCATTGTTAGTTCCAAAGGAATTTGACAAGCTATAAACATACAGAATGCCCTGCATTTGGCTAAGAAAATCATATCTCTCAAAGGACCAAGTGTCAAATACAAGAGCAGGAAGTATCCCGAAAAATAAATGTACATGAGCATTCATTTTCTGACTGAATAGCGAAGTCATGAAATGGCTTCATATTGAAATCCCGATGTAAATAAGGGCAATGCTATTGGTCGAATGAGTGAATCTGCCCCATTGTCATGTTCCTCCATTTCCTTTGAAGGAACACAAAAGGAGGAATTGCCCCTTGGTGTACATCTCCAAGCATAAGAGACAGAATGTGAAGAAAGTAAGCAAAATTAGTCCAACTAAGAGACCCAACCAGTCATGGGACCAATGGGAGCACTTAATTTGCTAAGATGTCTACTCTCATCAGCAAGGAACACAGAGCTGGACTCAGGAGGCACGCCGAGCCAACGGTCCTTAGAGGGAGTGAAGGGTTCACATAGCAGGGCAATCACATTTGAACTCCTAACGTGAAATCCGCAGTGCCAGCAGGAACGGAGTTTCTGTGCAGGCACATGTTCTTCATCAGCTAACAATGAGACTTGAGGAACTTTTCACACCATAGTGACAGTAACCGCAAAGTGGCAGAAGTGGGGGGAAAATCCAGGTTCATAATCCCCACAGGTTTACCACGTTTTGTAATCTGTCCATTTACTGATGTCTAAAGGGAGAATCACTGATAATAATTCCAGTTCACAGAGAATCAAGTGATTATCGCTGTAGTTGATTGTTATTATTATTGCTATCGTTACTTTTATTATTGTCTCTAGTGTAAAGCTGCTTAGTAACAACTGCCTAACTTGAGAGCATTTTGTTTCCAGGCAGACTAAAGGGGATTTGGGGCTGTGTTACCAGGAAGACATGAACAGACAAAGTACCAAGTGATGACACGGACATACCTATACTTCTGATAGATGTCAGGCTGGTGCTAGTCCCTTGATATCTGTGGTCCCCCCAGAGAAGGGGTGAATACTGTTTCAAATCATTTACAACAGAGCTTCAATGTATTATTCACAAGGTGAATCCCACACAGTTCTGATTGGAGGTGGATTGACTCCATGGGATATGAATGTAAGAATCACCAACTGCATTTTTCAGCATCTGTTTTGCATTTTTGTAGTTGTCTCTCCCTCCTCCCAATTGGGTTGTAGAGAGAAGCTTTTTTTCTCTATCTACATACAATTGGTTGATTTGAGTAGAAAATTAAATTTCCTGACTAGCCAGAGCAGTGCATAGTTCCTTATGAGTCTAGCAGACAGATTTAGAGCCATTTAACCTTTTTAAACAGAACTAGAGGACATGGATATTCAGGGAATTAGTGAGTAACAAATAGCAAACCATTATTGTCTCTTTAGGACTGTTGTATTTTATATGCTGAAAAGAATGTATCCATCTTTTAGGGGAATGTTTAGTTGGCCATCCAGCAAGAAATAGGCATTTATTGTGTCATCTGCCATGTTAAATCACGCAGTCATTTATTGGTTGGTCAATTTACCATAAGAGTCAACGTATTTTTAGAGCACATTGTCAAGCAGGAAACATTATGTATTTTAAAATTTTTATACCTAAACTTATACCTATATCTGTATTGTTTTATCTGGATCTATGTCTATGTCTGTATACCCCCTTCCAGGGGAAAATAGACAATAACATAGAGGTCTCCCTTCCAGGGACACTAATTAAGCATTTGCTACTTTCTTCAACACTATATGTTTTTTAGTAATTTAGAATAAAGGCATGCAAATTATTTAAAAGATGACACATTTTGAATTTACACAAACAGGTTCAAATCCCATCACTGCTGCTTGTCAGTCAGGCAGCTGGTCTCAGGAATTCTCTGAGATTCAGTTTCCTCATCTGTATTTTAGGGATAATATTATCTTCCTCACAGGGACACTGAAATAATTAAATTATTAAATAAAATGTATGGTAGCAATTAGCATTACCATTTAAAAACCCATATCAGTTTCATATCTTAAAGGCAAATTAAAAACCTAGTGCTTATTTTAGCAGAGATTCTGGTACCAAAATTTGCCAAAAGTGTACAGAATTATCTGGGTTTTTTTGTTGTTTTTCTTTAACAGTTTCAGGATAAATAGTATAATCTCATTTAATCCAATTTGCCCCTGCTGCTGCTGTGAATATTGTCATTACTGAGTGCTTAATATGTGGCTGGGTGGTACTGAGTATACTCATTTAATTCCCTAACACTTCTATGACGTAATATGTATATTCATTCGCCTCATTTAACAGATGAACAAACTGAGACTAAAAAGACTAATGTGCCCAGTATCACACAAATAGTCAAGAGTGCAGCTCTGGTATATCCCTGGGTTTTTCTGACAATACGGTGCTGTTCTTTGGTCCCTATGTCACAACCCCTTTCTTTCCCTGTGATCTCTGTGATGCCAACTGTGTCTCTACATGTTAGGACAACTTAGCAGGACCAATTTCAATTGAAATAATAAATGATTGATTCTCCAAATGACCTCATTCAATCCAGGATGCATACCGAGAAAGAAGGAAAATGGAAGTCCTGTGGAATTAACCAGAGTGTGGGTGGGTGGGGTATTCCTTGTTCATCAGTCTAGTCCCTTTGTATGAGTTTGTCATTATTGGCTGTGAACCAAATTATGATTAAGGAGGTAAAGGGAGAAACGATGTTATCATTATTCGATGAATCAGATGTAAGTTTCTATTATGTATTATTTCACTTGATTCTCACGTAAGACATCGTGATATGATTCCAGTTCTATGGAGAAGGAAGCCGAGGCTCTGAAAGGATGAGTTTCCTGTGCATGGTGCTATAGCAGGGGGCGTGGGACCAGGGTTTAAAGCCAGATTTTTTCTCATCGTTGACCACTATGTCTGTGCAAGCCTTGCTCAGTTCTGGCATCTTGCATGAGGTATAGGATGATCACTGCTAAACGTTCACTGAGCCTCTACTTGGTGACAGACACTCTGAAATGATGTTATACGCAGCCAACAGTTTGTATTCAAGGTCAAAACTCCTAGCACAGACTAGATATTCACTATAAGTCCATGCTTTCACATAAACTTGTTGTGGTTCCCCTTTTTCCTCTCGGCATACTTATTTCACATGTGTATCTG